GTAAATATATCGGGCGCTTCGGCACTCCGTTTGATTTGCAGGAACTGGCCGGTAAGCCGGGGCTGGATATTAAAGCAGTCACTCACGTGCGGATCGTAGATGCGATTGGCTCCATCGGTGCCTATGGTACCCTGGATGCCGCTGGCAGGAAGATCAATGATCCTTACCCGACACCATTCCCGACAGGCGGTTTTGACCTGGATGCCGTAGCTGTAATGGATCATTCGGCATCAGGCATCAATACGGTGGGCAATGGCCTGGCCGTGAATGTCTACCCGAACCCCGTAACCGACTTTATCCGTATACAGATGCCGCAGGGCAGTTCGATGAAACTAAAGTTGACCGATGCCACCGGGCGTATCCTGAAAGCGGAAGTGATAACAGGTACTACGGCTCAATGGTCGCTGGGTGCGCTTGCACCAGGCATGTATTACCTGAATGTGTGTGATGAAAACAACAACCAATGGTCAGGAAAAGTATTCAGGCAGTAATTATAGTCTTACTGTTTATAACAGGATGTAAAAAAGAAGGTGGCAACGATCCTGTGTTGCCACCTTCTTCTGATGAACGCAAGGTCTATATTATCTGTGAAGGCAGCATGGGCAATGGCAACAGCACATTGGGCCTCTATCTCCCGGAAAAAGACAGCGTGTATGAAGATGTTTATAAAGCGGCCAATAACCGGTCACTGGGTGATGTGTTTCAGAGCATGACCCGCATCGGTGATCAGTATTTTCTTTGCATCAATAACAGCGACCAGATCGTTGTGATCAATAAGAATACCTGGAAACTGGAGGGGAGCATCTCCGTACCAAAGCCAAGATATATACTGCCGGTGAGCAAGACGAAGGCATATGTAAGCTCCTTGTTTACCGACAAGCTTTATTTTATCAATCCCGAAACCAAGAGTAATTACGCATCGGTTTCCCTTCCTTACAGCAATGCCGAAGGCATGTTGCAAGTGGGCAATACTGCCTATGTGGCGCCCTGGGATACTGCCAGCAGCGAAGTGTTGACGTTTAATACAGACAACGATCAGCCGGGCAACCGTATCCAACTGCCGGGACGGGCACCACAGGACATTTTACTGGATAAAGAGCAAAAGCTATGGATACTGGCAGGCAATGTTTATAAAGGAAAGCCAGCTACACTGACCCGCTACGACCCGGTTACTGCCACGATCCTGCAACAATATTTATTCCCTGCCGGGGCCGACCCGATCCGCCCGGTATTTAATAAAACAAAGGATACCCTCTACTTTATAGAAGTTAATTATAACGGCGGTACGGCCAATAATGGCATCTATCGCATGGGCATCCGGGACGCAGCTATCCCTGCGCAGCCCTTCCTGCCGGCGCAGCAATACCAATATTTCTGGGCATTGGGCATCGACCCTGTTTCCGGTTATATCTATGTTGGCGATCCTAAAGGGTTCACACAACGCGGGCAGGTTTATATTTACAGGCCCGATGGTGCTCCCGTTACTGATTTCAGAGTGGGGGTAGGACCGGGGCATTTCCTGTTTGATCAATAATCTTCATGCGCGCGTTTTGTATTGTGTGGCTTGTATTGCTGTCTGTCTGCCCTGGTCGTGCACAGCCGCTTCATGATACCCTGAAGACGGTTATCAAATCGTCTACCCGCAAAGCAAAAAACAATAGCACACCAGGCGTTAAAGCGTTGGAGGTAGCAGCCCCAGTGCTCGATGATTACCGAAGCCAGAATATGGCCACGCTGCTGGCGC